TTCCAATTTTAGTAATTAAGGTTAAAATTAATAATCAAAAAACAAAAACATACATTTTTAATTATTATATAAATAATCATAATAAGATTAACATATTAAAATTATTTAAAGTTATTTAACAAATATTTACAAAAACAAAGACTCATTCAAGTGCATCGTATTTTGCTATTATATTGTTTCTTTACGTTACTTCAGGGTAGCTGCCAGAGTATTTGGCACCCTAGGCGAACTTGTCTTATTGCTTTTCTTCCCTGTGCCCACGTTAAGCCAGGTTGCTGAAAAAGAAACCTCCAGATTTTATACAATTGCCTAGTTGAAATTATCAGACTGTAGAAGTAATGAGAGTTTATGTAAAGCGGATTCTGGTACTTTTGGAGAAGTCCAAAGAAGCCGAGAAAAGCAAATAAAGGCATAATTACTACTGTACTCACAAATACATTCGATTAATTAAATATTTTTGACAGAAATCGCAGTGTGTTCACAGAAAAATTTTAAACATTTAATGTAAATCTTATTTTGCTTTTAATTTTAGCATCAAAGCTGGAAATTTGATTGAAAATGTTCTAAAATGATTTGAAATTTGAAATCTTTTTTTCAGAACAGCCAAAACGGTCTTGAGATTTAATTTGTAGAATTTGGTCATATTTTATATAGTTTTAAGATAATTTAATTTTGAACATAAGAATAAAAACAGAAAATTATACATTCTTGCCATGAAAATTAGGAGATCGAACCTTATAATTCTCATGTACTAATACGCTGTTTTATCTTATACCATATTATATTACTTAATAAATAATAACAAATATGTGTTCTAAGCAATCAATTTAACAAATTTTGCATTTTAAATTATTTTTTATTTTTATAAAAGTTAAGGTTATGAACTACTTTATTTTAGCAAAACCTAAAAATTTAAAAGATTTTGAGACCCTAATGACACTTCTTTTTTTTTTTTTTTTGCAACTGTGGATAGAAAAAAACTATACCCTCTATTCCCTACACCATATATTTTTTTTATGTTGGTAAACTAGGATCTTTAATCAGAATTTTAAATTTTTTATTGATTAGCTGGTTATTTAAGATAAATTAGAAAACTGATGTACTTACTTTTAAATTGGCCGAAGTACGTACTTTTAAAGCGGCCGTGGCGCAGTGGTTACAGCACTTGCTTTATAAGCAGGAGATCCAGGTTCGAAACAAGCTCCTCAGCTAGCATGCATTCGTTAACCGTACTTTGGCCAACGTAGGAACAACGTCGGAAGCGTTGGGAAATTTTTTTAACTACACGCTAACGTCGAACCATCGCACTATGCGTTGCGAAGCGGAAATAGGATTTTACTTACTTTTCTGATAAAAAAATTTAATTTTATTATTTTGAATATTTTTTAACCGAAGCAAGTTAGCATTAATTATTAAAAAAATGTTTGTTGCAAATATTTTTAAATTAGCCTTTTTAAGTGCGGGATTTTCAGGGGTAAAAAAACCCGGGTTTTCACTAAATCTTTATATTACATACAATAATTTCCGAATTTTCTCAATTTTTTGCATATTATCAAATAAATGATGCATTTTGTAAATTAAAAACCAAGACAAGAAAAAAAAAGTGTTTAGATCATTGTTTTTGTGTGTCTGTAAAGATTGATTGATTAGACCATCTTACTACAGAGGTAGCCAGTTTTTTATTTATTATAAATTTTCTGCGATAAATAGACTCTTTAGAAGTAAAATAATATTCTGGCTACCTCTGTGGTAACAAGCTATAAAATCAATTCATTATAGTGGGTTTTATTAAAAACCGGTTAGTTAAAAAGTATAAAAAACAAAACTTTGATGCAGAGCGGTACATTTGTACCTAGTCTTAAAGTAATATTTTTTAAGATAAGTGTGCTTTAATGTTTTAAAATGGTTCCTTTAAATCTCAGCAAACTTTTGTTTGATGATTTTCCTCCAAGGCATGTTTTCACTAGGCATTTTCAAGGCATATTTTCACAAGTAAAAATGTTTTTGCATGAGCTATATTTTTGCAGTCCACGTTTTTATCACTTTATGCAGGTTACACAGTGAGTTTTTAACATTTTGGAAAGTCTGGCTTTTTATTTAATAAAAATTTGTTGAAAAGGAAAAAAATTGTTTTTAACTAAAAAAAAAAAAAAACATAAAAAATCAACATGGTATAATCTTGTGATTATAATATATTTTATATATTAAATTGTTATTATTTTGTAAATTAGCTATAAATATTAAATTATAATAAATCATTATATATATATATATATATATATATATATATATATATATATATATATATATTATATATATATATATATATATATATATATATATATATATATATATATATATACAATGCTAAATAAATACAAATCATAACATTTTTAATAATAACAACTAATATATAAAAGAATAGAAAAAGATCCTGAAATATAGATTAGAACATATGAAGCGGATCAATTAATAAAAAAATCTGATTAATCAGGGTAATCAACTTATCAAGCAGAGTGTACATAAAATTAAAAGAAGATGATTTATTACTTAACACATAAATACAATATAAGCATATTGATACAGTATAAGCAGGTGTGCATAGATTTATATATCTCCCTATATATATATATATATATATATATATATATATATATATATATATATATATATATATATATATATATATATATATATATATATATATATATATATATATATATATATATATATATATATATGTATATATATATATATATATATATATATATATATATATATATATATATATATATATATATATATATATATATATATATATATATATATATATATATTTATCGTCAGTATACATGGAAACTGCAAGTCCAAATACATTATTTTGAGATAATGAACAAATAAGTTTTTGCGTAATAGTTAAAATTATTAGTTTTTGTGTAATAGTTTAAATAAAAAATCTTAACAACTCATCAATAATCGATTTATTAAATTTATGTGGTATGTCAAACCATACTGCCAAAAATGGACATGCATTTCGCTTGTATCCAACGATATATTTAAACACACACACAAAACTTTTGTCCAACCATATATATAGACACACACACAAAACTTTTGTCCAACCATATATATAGACACATACACAAAACTTTTGTCCAACCATATATATAGACACACACAAACTGTTTTTACTATATTTCATAAAAAAACACATATATAAACAAATAGCATATATGTTTATATATACAGTTTATATAGAGATGGTTAACTACAATAAAGTTTTTAAAAAATTTAGTTTATATTAAAATTAAAAAATGATTTATATAGCGTTTGTTTGCAATAACCAACGCACGATAATAAAATATTTAAGTGCTATAATAAAATTTTGAACTAAAATTACTATATTCAAAACATATACTAAAATCAAAATTTTACAATAATAAAATTTTAAAACAATTATTTTATATTTATTTGGTTTAGTGGCTTTTGTTAAGAGGTTTTAAATTTTGATTCAAAATATCTCATTTTAACATATTCGTTGTATTATCGTAGTTTAAAAGCTAAATATTGTTTAAATAGGTAAATATAGTATTTTTATGTAGAATTCAAAACTTTTTGACTATCGTTAGTTTGATTTTAAAATTAATAATAAGTACTATTATGTGCCGAAAATTTAAACCTTACATACTTTAAACATTTAACACGGTTTCGGTTACAATTATTAAGTTGCAATTATTATTAATTTTTTTAGTTATTGTGTGCCAGAACTCTAACCACTGCAAAACGGCTGCCATTATTGACGGTAATAAACGGCACAATTGTTGCCTTATATTATTGGTCGGAAGTCGGTCAATAATAATGCCGTGCATACGGCATTATTAAAGACGAATCATAAAAGTTTATTAAATGTTATTAATAAACTCAATTGCAACAATTTTAATGGCGAATGTTCAAAAATCCTTTAAGATGTAAGCAATTTTCCGAAGAATTATTGACCTATCGAGTCAGGTATACACATGACCCTAATTAGACGTCTAGATAATGCCTTTAAGTTTAAAGTCTTTATAAAGACTTTAAACTTAAAAACGAAAAATTGTCGAAAAGACGTTTATAAACGTCCTTTAGACAATTTTTCGTTTTTGTTTCTACCGCATATCAAAAGAACCAGTTTTAGAACTAAATTTCAAATTAAAAAAAAATTTCTTATAAACTACTATTTAGATTTAAGACTTTTTATAGAACGTAGATTAGAACGTAAAATTATATTATTAACGTAGATTATGCAAACGAGTTTGAATGACATGACTAGGTTCATAAGATCATTAAATATAGAGAGTTATGTATAATTACTTTAAGAAATTTAAATATATTAGGTACAAATAATTGTAAACTAATCTTTTTATTTATTAACGAGTCAATGGTACTAATTTTAAATTTTTGTAAACTATTTAGTGAATCAATTCAAAAAATAAAGTTAAAAATTGGAAGAAATGATGGTATGATTTTATGTTTTTATGCTCAAGAAAACGCCTTTATTCTATAAATAGTCTTTTGTCTTTAAGTTCCCTCCTCTTAAGATAAATGTAAAAAAATAAAATAAATAAAATAAAAACATTCATTTTTTTATAATACAATTTTGACCTATTATCAAATATATTTTAACATTTTAAATTTAGAACATAACAAATTAGATGATAAAAAAATATAAATACGATGAGGCCATAAACTTTGGCCGAATGAGCAATGTGGTACCGTTTTCCTACTTAATCTAATGGTTGTATTTCGGTTTCTAAAATTACAAAACAGAAGCTACACTACCTTTTTAGTTCAACATTTTAACTCAGGTCTACCGCTAAGACTAACAACAGCCGTTAAAATCGCTAAAAAAAACTTTGTCGATGATATGCTACATTTTTTGAATGACCTTGAATATTCTTAGCTCGGTTACTCGGTTATTCTCGGTTTTTCTAGTTCTCGGTTATTATTCTCGGTTACTCTAGGAATGCTTTTACTTTTTTTAAATAGTACCAAAAAAAAAAAAAAAAAAAGCCTGATTTCGATTTATTTTATTTTGTGTGTGCACGTAACATCTGAATTTAAAACCTTTGACTTTACTATAACATGTATCGTGTTATCGTGTTTACCGGTGGTATCGGTTTACCGTAAGAAAATCAAAATGTTTTAGTTTTATGGTATGATTCTGTCGTTTGTTAAGTTTTATGATCTCAACGCCAACTGATATAAACATACTTTTTTAAAATTCCAATAAATGTAGTTCTTTTATTCTTTTTATCAATTTTTTAAAAAGATGTTAAAGTCCAACATGTGCATATTGTAAAGTAATTGCTGTTGCAAATGCGTAGTAAAGTGCACGTTATTGACGTATTTCTTCTGTTGTAAAGTACACATTTTGTACATGCTTCTTCTGTTTTAATGCAGTGTTTCGTACATGTTTCTTCTGTTAATTATATATAATATCGGAAACTTGAGTGTAGATTGGGGAGCTAACACTATAAAAGTTATTTTTATACTGAAAAACGTCAATTAATCAAATGCTATAAACACTTAACAGTTCCTTGTCTTTTATCGTTAAACATCGATAATCGATATAATCGATTATATATCGATATTCATCGATATATAATCGATAATTCACCACACTGTTGGTACGTACTGCATTACTAAGCTTTCGTTTAGTGATCCTAATATAAATTATGACGAGACAGACTTGGTTTTTTCAGAATAATTTCATTATTCTTCCCAGTGGGTTTGCGTAGTTTGCGTGGTTTTCTTAAAAAAATTAGTATTTTATTTTAAGATTACATTGTTAAAAAATATACTACTTTTGGATTACTTAACATATGTAATAATTATGTGTGTAAAGTTTTTTTAATTTAAGATATACAAGTTAAAATATTTTTTATAGTATACCGCCATGTATATTCGGTTCATTCTAATAAATATAGATTTGCATTAAACAATATACAATAGAGTAGATCATTGCATTTTTTTTTGTTCGAATTACTTTGAATAGCAAAACAATGTTACTCTAACATCTAAATATCATTAAAATAAAATAAAAACAGTTAAAATTATTTTTTCCTACCTTTGCGGCTTTCTAATTAAAAATAAGCCGTTTTTGATATTACATTAATTGTAATATCAAATATGTAAAAATCTGCTGTACAAATGATATGTAAAAGTACCTGCTGTGCAAAAAATGCAATAATTTTATTTTCTGGTTAAATCTCTAAATTGCATTTCTTTGAATATACTTATTAACTATAAGTCGATCACTTTAAGAAAAGAAGTGAGAGAATTGAGTTAAGCGCCACAAGTGATTTCCCCTTATGTAACATTGAGGTTCCAGTTTTATAAAGAAATGGTTATATAGTATAAGAAAAGTTTAAATAGTTTCCTTGCAACATACAAACGAAGGATTCGATTTGCTGTTGTCAACCATTGGGAAAAAAACATTGGGCTAGGCTTTTTTTTTGTTAGACTTTCTTTCACTTCACTTATTTATATTGCCTTGCACATGTTATAAAGATACTGTTGATCTTAGCTAATATTATTATCACAATCTCATGTAGAACGCTCGCTAAGTTATTCTGTCTGACATCATGTAGAACGTTAAGTAAGTTATTCTGTCTGATATCATGTAGAACGTTCGGTAAATTATTCTGTCTATCATCAAATTTGACAACTTACAACTTGTGACAATTTGCAAGTGCTTTCTCAATGTTGCCACTAAATGCAGTAGGTCCAGAAGTGATGTCATCTAAATACAATACTAAATTTCTCAATGGTAGTTCATTAAAATGAAACATCTATAGTAACTATTGAACTGGATATCCTAAATACAGTTCCAGCAAACTTATTACACCATTGTTCACACCAGTATTTACATTAGCTTTTATTAGTGCCACTAACTAACACATAGTCAAGTGATGTTTTGTTTTCATCAAAAAAATCTGTAATAGCATTCTTGATATTTGTTGATGATGCACTTGATGGAGAAACATGACCAAGAAAAATGGAATGAAGTTCTTCTATTAATGTGATACGTTTCTCAGTGATTATGTTTTTCCTGCTAGTCGTTTCTTTGATCCATTAAAAATTCATGTTCAAGTGTTGAGCATAAATTTTTAATGGATCTTATTAAATGAAATTGCAGCATGTTCATGTTTTACTTCAATTAAAACAATGACACGCTGCAATGACATACTGCAATGTCAAACAAAACTAAACTTTCCATCTTAGCAATTGATACTGCTGAAGTCTTTAATTCGCCTTTTTTTTTTAAGAATCTCAAATTTTTGTGTAAAGATTCTAGTTACTGCTCTGCTGCACTCTTTGCATTGTAACAGTTTTCTTAGGAAGTTGTGATTTAACAAAAGAAAAGTGCTGCATGACTTCCTTAAAAGTTAGAAGTTTGAGAGTAGTAAGTTCACATTCGATGCCATAAACAGGAAAAATCAGCTGCAGTTTTATAAAAGC